CCATGCTACCATCATAGTACCAAATAAGTATTAAGCTCCTCCTCCTTCCCACTTCCCCCTTCATGACTGCTTTACATGTTCACACACACACACAAAGAGAGACACACACCACATACACACACACTGTCTGTCCTATAAGGTCTAGTTTGATCTTAAGCCCAAACAGTCCCCAGTTGCATATGGCGGCTCAGCAAGGACTCAGTAAACTTCCCATTTTTGGTGTTGTCAAGCATCTGGCAGGCTGCTCAGCTGCATTTGGTTCGATGGGTCATACGTTGTACAGATGTGCCTTCAGGCTCTCCTACCCCAACACTGATCCTAGTCTGGACTGTAAAACTGGTGAGACCCCTGTCTTGACAACTGTTCTGAAGGTTATGCCAGGTACCCATCTTCCCAATCCTATTTCCAAAAAGCAATTGCCCATGAGGACTTTTTGACTGAAAAGCAGTATATAACTTAGCCTTTCAACAAGCCACAGATTTTTTCCACTATGCAGATGATTCTTTTTTATTCAGTTCCTGATTGTTTTTCCACATAACCACCCACAACCCCAAGCTTCTGTTTCAACATTTGTTATTCCTTATTCTTGGGAGGGGTCATAACTCTGTGTTAGAGCACATGTTTTGCATGCCAAAGGTCCCAGGTTCAATCCCTGGAATCTATACTTTAAAGAAACTCAGATAGCAAGACTCAGAAAGAACCCTTCCAGAGGAATTGGAGAGCAACTGCCAGCAAGAGTAAACAATTCTGGGCTAGACAAACCAAAGGTAGCTTCATCTGTTCACCTTTATCAATGTCATTGCACTGTACATATTCCAAGCTTCCAAAAATATCAACAAAGTTCTTCCAGGGTTTTCCTTTCTTTGCTTCTAAGACTTTGCACTAAGATAGCCTGCTTGCTTAAATTGCACCATTATCCTTTGGATTCATGCTTTTCACATGGAGCTACTTGTAGCACTTTTGAAAGACAAGATGTAAATTAAGCAATTAAATAAATAGCTCTCATCCCTCTAACTAAGCCATAAATCAATACCCATGGCTTTTCCAAATTATTCCTCAAGATTGCTGTTTCAAGAACAACAATTTAATAACAATGCAAACACTGCAGACATCATGTTTTGTTTTTCATAGAGTCAGTCTATGCAAGCCTGGGATAGTTTATACTTGTGAGCCACCATCACCAATCCAACACCAGAAGCAACGTCTGTTATCACCTCACATCTCCTCAAATGCAATTCCACCCCCCACTGGAATGAGTTCATGCATCCAGCTGCCAGATATCAATTAATAAGGAAGGAAGGAACAAAAGTCAAGTGTGACCTTTATCCAGAAATCCTAGAGAATCACAGAGCAACAATGGCACACAGAATGGCAAATGGGCCAAATGTGGCTGTAACGCTTCCACAGGTGGAAGGACTTCAGACGCAGAGAACGATTTTCCTGCCTCCTCAGCAGCCCAAAATCTCTGCCATAAGTCCTTGTCCTGGGGACAGGGAATTCACAGGAGCAGGATATGGGGAGAGGGTATTTTAGGCCACCATGGGAGGAAGGAGGCAACAAGTCACGCTCTGCAGGGACAAGAACTTGGAAACTCTAGTGCGGATTTAAGCCATTGCTCTGTGTTAGTACCATTCCCATTTTAAAACATATTGTAAAATATCTCCAGTAGGCCATGTTCCCATGAACAATCTTCAATTTAACAAAGAAGTAATGTGCTTTAATTGCTATCCTCAGAGAGTGGATACATAAGAACAGCCTGCCCTGTGTGGACACTACAGGCAGTCTGTCTCCGAGAGAGCAATTTTTTTCCACACAGGTTATTTGCCCCAAGTTATTAAAACATAAAAACATTACCAAAAAAGTTAGTCCACACACAGATACAACAAAGGCTTTCTTAAAGCACAGTCTTCCATTATCAACAATAATTACAAAGTCTGCAAACAATACACAAACTCAATTCACTTTAGGAAAAAGCCCTTTGATAAGACAAGTCTTGCAAAAGCTCTTAAAGAAGAATAATGAGGCGTGCCCACCCAGCTATTCCAAAAGGCACGAACAATACAGGAGAAGGAGCAGTTTCTCAAATAGGCCAAATGAAGTATGAAAGGCACAAAGAGAGAATTGAGGTTGTACACAAGTTCTTGCAAGAAAAAGTATATGGACGGTGGCAGAGCTAAGTAGTCAGTGGCCTCTACAACATTTTTATCTCACCCTTCCTTGAAGGAGATCAGGACAGTGCACCTGGTTCTGTCCTCCACCATCTTATCCTCACAACAGCCCTGTGAAGTAGATTAGTATAAGCAATCAGGGCTGGCTCATGGTCACCCAGGACCAAACCAGACATGTACTGGGAGCTGTGTATGCAGAATCCCCAGTGATTTTTTAAAACTCTGTGTCAAGGCACGCAGAGGCCTGAGTCAGAACAAGACCACAGCACACAGAGAGGGAAACTTTAAGGCTTGAACCCCTACATGCACCATTCTACCAACCTGAAATGGTTCCTGGAAGCCCCATTGACCCCACTGGAGTACATATAGGTTTAGCCCAACTAGGCAAACAGAGGCTCTCCAGGGCCATTTCAAGATGTATTTAAAATATTTATGTCTTACTTTTCTTCCTAACGGCACTCAAGGTCGGTTTTAATTAAAACCAGATAGAACCCCATTTCACAAAGATACAATACAAATAACAAGAAGAGAGCAAGCTGTTTACCCCAACATAATAACTGACCTCCACTTACAAGCCATCAAAAGCATGCCAGGAAAGCTCTACTTTATAGAACCCATGAAATCTCTGCAGGACTGGGGACTTCCTCGTGTCCACAGGAACCCCATTCCATAAAACCCCATTCCACCAAGAAAGCCTAAGCAAAAACAGTTCTCACTAATCTGAGTGGAGGAACTGGTCTGACAATCAGAGCTGCTTTGTGGAATAATGATGCAAAGGATTAAAGCCCCCCCCCCCTTCCCTGTGCACCATGGTCGTGATTCGTACATACTCTAAAAGTGACTCTGAAAAATTGCTGTGAGCCCGAAGCACAAACTCCCAGCACACTGCCCCTTTAAAGCAAACTCCAGGGCGGACACAGCACATGATCCAAAGTCTCCGCAGTCTGAGACCAACATTCTAACCACTATACCATAGTGCTTCATCATTATAGCACCACTGGTTTAAGTTGGAGAAGCTACACATTGCGGCTGAAGTGTAGGAAGCAGAAGCTCTGTTGATGATCAACGTATCCCAGTATTTATACCAGACTTCACTAATTCAAAGGCTGTTACTATTACAAGGAGCAACCTTACAGAAACTGTCCCTTTCAGCTCCAGAAGTGGACTCTGAGGCCTGCACCTGGTACCTCACTAGGACTGCTGCGTTCTCTTCTTTGCAGATGAGATTATAAAAAGCAGAGCAGAGAACTCTGGGACGTCCTCTCATGATGTCATCTGTTGGTGGAACTATACATAAACACAGATTTGTTGTAGATGTAATAGATGACTATGACCACGATGTCCATTCCAGTTTTGTGGCTGTGATTGGATAGGGGGGGGGGGCGGAGAAATGCACCATAGCATGAAATAGGAGGCATTTCTCATTCTGCCTCACATACGTAAGAAGAATTAACAACAGCACAGAACTAAGGCATCCCCTGAAGAAACATCTCACACAGTTCATCCTTTCAATGTGAACAGATGGTTCCCTGGTGGTTTATGTGCTTTGTCAATTTATGTATTGTTTTTGAACTATTTACATATTATTCATTGAGATTTGTTGCTCGTGGCACCTTACAATTCCCAATTAAAACTCTACATGATACAACCCCAGTAACCCCTCTTCCCCAAAAAAATGCATGCAACTTAAACCTCATTAAAAGTCCTAGCCAATAAAATGGCCATACAGCACCCCCTAAAGACAGAAAATCATGCCCCCCTCACCTCCTCAGGGAGCCTGTTTCAAAAGGTGGGAGCCACTACTAAAAAGGGCTGTACTCTAGTAGAAACCAAATGGGTGGCCTTAAACAGGGAACAACTAGATGGTGACCATAACTGGCTGATGGGGTCATATGGAGGGGGAGTCCTCCAGATATACTCAAGCTTTCTGCTTTCACTTCATCCTGAATCACGACCTGTGTCTTCTTATTCCTATGCTGCATAAGAGCCCTGCAAAACAGCACAGGGAGGTATCTACCATCAGTTAGCAGCAGATGGTATCACCCAAAGTGTTATTCCAACTTTACATCCTGCATCCTCCTGAGTCGGCTTGCGACCCCAAGCCCAAAGCTAGTGGGAAGAGCTACAGTTCAGCAGCACAACACAAGCTTTGCCAGAAAATGCTCTGGCATCAAGACTAGGAGTCTCTATATAAGATTTTTGAGAGCTCTTGTCCAGTTGGAATAGAAAACACTAAGCTAGATGGATTGATAGTCAGACACCATACAAAGTAGTTCTGTATGTAAGTGAACCTGTTGCAAATACATCCCAGCCTACATATTTACAGTGCGATCCTAACCAGTTACACCATTCTAAGCTCATGGATTTCAGTGGACTTCGTGGTGGTGGTGGTGGTGGAAAGTGCCATCAAGTCGCAGCCAACCTATGGTAACCCCGTAGGGTTTTCAAGGCAAGAGACATTCAGAAGTGGTTTGCTATTGCCTGACTCTGCGTCACAACCCTGGTATCCCTTGGAGGTCTCCCATTCAAATACTAACCATGGCCGACCTGCTTAGCTTCCAAGATCTGAGAAAATCAGGCTAGCCTGGGCCAGGTTCAGTGGACTTAGAAGGGCATAATTTTGCTAACAATTGCACTGCTAATGACAAACAACTTCATATCTAAAAACTGTAGCCAGGCTACAAGTTGAATTGTATTTACTGTAGGATATTTGAGTACATTGTGCACAATATATGGTTAAAGGGGCATACTCAAAGCTACAGATAATCAGTTTAACACTGCTGTAACTCCAACACAGAAGTCAAGATTTGTAAAAACTCTAAAAGAACTTACCGAGCCATACAGTTCACCTTTCTCATTCATTCCCAGATAAAGTCCACTGTCTACCCCTCGGATGCTGACCAGGCCAACTGCTATACTGATAAATTCCAGGATACCTGCAAAATACATAAAACAGAAATGTGCATATTGTTTTCATTGACACAGACAGTATTTTAGACTGACTTTTAATTGACTCAGAGGCAATATGAAAGTAGGAGTGGTTTTCTACCAGAAGGCTGAATGCATCCTCAGTGCATGTGGGGAGCCGTCTCCTCAAATTATGCATTTCAGGACAGCAGAGGACCAGCAAGCTTGTTCAAAGAGATTCTCCATAAGTACCTTGCCAAACTGAATACCCCCAGCTATCCTGCCACATGTTGGAGCCAGTAGAAAAGTAGTAACATGATTTGGAAGTTTTTAAAAAAACTATATTTATGTGATAGGCATTAAAAGATTACTCTCGTTCTGCTGAAGACTGAAGCCATGCACAGTACTGAATTCATAGATACACAACTGTTTTGTCACGAAAGACCAATAGCCTACAGCCCTTATACTTTAGGATAACTGACTTGGAATGGAGAAGTAACAGAGGGGCAGAAGGTGCCTTGCCCTGCTCTACACTTTAATATTCCACATAGCCCCCACATACACCTTTTTTTCTCCAGAGATTTTCCAAACTATTTGGGAGGATGAACTGGGTTGGGACAGGAACTCTGTGAGGAGGAAAGCAGTTGGGAGGTGGGTGATTTGGAACGGAGACTCAGAAGGGAGGGGAAAGGTTAAACACCTCCTCCCACCCCCCACTTCTCCCTCAAAATCCTCCCTCTCCATCCTAGTACCTTCCTGAAAACAAAAAGGAGTTGTCTCTGTTTTATTTCACACATTTGAATGCAGGGACTCAGCCCTCTCACCATAGTTGTCAATAACCTTCAAATAATACAGTGCTCCTACCAAAAACTAGACAGACCTCCACAGTCCAAAATCTGCCAGTTTACTATCCAGCACTACTCACCAGTCCCTTATTGCTCCATCCCTCAGGTTCCCAGATTGCAGTTTCTCCCAGTTGCTGCAGGAGCCAGTCCTCACCCTAGGCCTTCTTTGGGCACTTTTACACATGCTAAATAATCCAGTTTCAAACCACTTCAGCAACCGTTTGTGAGTGGATTTTCCCATTTCCCCCTCCTCCTGCTTTGCCTTTCCTTTATCTCATGAGCTCCTCTTCCTGCTAAACCTTCCCTTCAGAGCTCCCTTTCAGTACACCACCCATCTCACCATAGGTACAATGTGGGGTATTCCCTACCCCAAAGAGCATTCTCTCGCTTTAGCTCCTAGGCATTCTGTGACTCTCCTCTCTTAAATCCCCCCAAAGCACACAATCTCTTCCTCTTGGCCTTAGACACCCTCCCCCCCTAACCAAAGTAACTGAACTGAACTGGTTTTCTATGTTACTGTACCTGGCTAAACTTTCTCACTCAATAGGTCAACAAATGCAACCAATAAGGCAGTAGAAAAGCATAGCACTGTTGAATAAGGCTGTACCTATAAACGACAACTCTCTGTAGTGGGGAAAGTTAGCCCTACATGCCCAGAGGTACTCTGGTAATTAAAAAGGGGTTATGCTACATATTACTTTTCCTGCATGTCTGCACAACCTTGGTATCATTGCAATCAGCAAGTTGCATTGTGTTTTTAAAATAAAACAGTTTATCTTGGGCCCATGTTTGTGTAAAGTGCTGCCAAGTTGCAGCCAACTTATGGTGACCCAGGCGAGGGGCCTTCAAGGCAAGTGAGAAGCAGGGGTGGTTTGCCATTGCCTTCCTCTGCAAATTCTTCCTTGGTGGATTTCCATGCAAGTCTCAAGCCTGCTTAACTTCCAAGATCTGATTAGATCAGGCTATACCATGCCACTTCCCCTCATCTTGGGCTAGGGTTGCCAGCCTCCAGGTGAGGCCTGGAGATATCCTGCTTTTGCAACTGATCTCCAACTGGAGAAAATGGCTGCTTTGAAGGGTGAACTGTTGGGTGATAGTGATATATTGAAAAAAATGGTACTTAGCAGAGATAAGATAGTCCAGCAGTGCCAGAGTAAAATAATTCAGACTGAGAGTCCATGTGTGATTAAAATATAAAGTTTTTACTAAATTCTAGCATGGGGAAGGGTAACTGGGATGAAAATAACAACAGAGCATAATCGACTACATCCTTACTCTACAAAGACAAAACTAGAAGAGAGAGAGTATGGCTACTCTTCTTGTTCTTCAGAACACCAAAAACAAAGACGGGAAGAGTAGCCATAAAATGGTAATATACCTTGACACTTTAGTCCCAATCAAATTCCTAGATCAGGGAGAAAATTCCCGGGTATTCTACATCTAAAGAACATTGGTTACATGAGAAACATGTGACTTCCTGTGAGTAACCTAAACAAACATTTAACCCCAGATATACTGAGTGTTTTCAACTTGTAATACCCAACATGAACTCTATGGCATTGTCCCATGCTGAGGTCCCTCCCCTCCCCAAACCCTGCCCTCTCCCAGATACACCCCCAAAATCTCCAGGTATCTTCAAGCCCAGGGCTGGCAACCCTATCTTGGGCCCAGAGTAATTACAAAATTATTCCAATGTCTAAAGGAATTCAATATGTTGTCGAATTGCTTACTTTTCTGGAACATGGAGTGGGTTCTATTCGGGGAACACTGCTCAGAAGAGCTGTGTGTGGTTCCTGAACCACTGAGTGACTATCACTAGGCTAGATGCTGTCCAACGCTAAAATTTAGAATAGTCACTGGCCACAGGTTCACAACCTATATAAGAATAATACACAAGTGATATATGGAGGAAGAGTTACAGAAATGTGATTGTTACTGGAAAGCAAAGAAGATGGATTTTTACCACTGTTTAAGGTTGCCAGCCTCCAGGTGGGACCTGGAGATCTCCCACTTTTACAACTGATCTCCAGCTGACAGAGATCAGCTCCCCATTAGAAAATTGCTGCTTTGAAGGGTGGACTCTATGGCATTGTACCATGCTGAGGCCCCTCCCCTCCCCAAACCCCACCCTCTCCTGGCTCCACCCCCAAAGTATCCAGGTATTTTCCAACCCAGACCTGGCAACCTTACCACTGTTTGACCAGAGAGGTAGAAATGAAAAGGCAGCAATCAGGAGGGAAGATGGACCTCCCAATGGCAGGGAAAGGGTGGAACAGGGGGATTCAAAAATTAATTTTAGACTTTACAAGGAGGTTTTGACCAAAGAACGAGACACAGAAACCAATAAATAAAAGAAAACGAGAAGTTATATGTTTAAAAATGAAAGGGAGTTTGAACAGACTCAAGCAGAGAGAGGAAGTCAATAGAGAAAATGAAAGAGGGAAGTCAGGTGAAGAGTATGGTGGACAGTGGAGACTAAATGAAGAGCAGAAGGAAAAGCAGAAGGAAATAATTCCAAAATTGAAGCAGGAAGACTGAGTAGAAAAGAGCATGAGAACCTACATGAGAATGTATTTTTAGCAGCATCCAGGGAAAGACATGTGCAAATTCTAGATATATTGAGAAACTGAAAGTGGGGGGAAATGGCAAGAACCTAGACATGAAGAGAGCGAGCTTCTCTTTTTAAAAGAGAAGATAACTGGCCCAAGTGAAATCAGAAACTGTGCAATTATTGAACACAAGCAGATCACTGCCTTGGAGGTCCACTGAGAACCAGCCGCAAGCAGAGCCAAACCTCAGCAAATCTGCCAGCAGGGCACCTGGTTCAGACCCTTTTGTGCCAATGCAGATTGGCATCAGCTTACCAGTTGCCCCCTCGTGCACCACCACAGTTGCACATAATTAGCACTGCTGGCTGGGTCTGAAATGAGCGGCTCCTGTAGGGTAACAGGGACTGCTCAGCTGGGCATTTTTAACTGCCCAGTACAAGGGAAGGGGAGAAAGGAGGAGGAAGCGTTCAGATGGAAAATGAAATACTCACAATGAACTCACATGTGCCACTCAAAACCGCTTTTCGGCCTCTCTTGCTGCTGGTGTGCACATGTGAAATACACGGAGGCCGTTTTCAGTGTGTTCATATCAAGTTTCTGAACCAACTGAGAGCTGTGCAGCAAGCTGCATGCCAAACTCCCTGTGCTTTACCGTGGATGTGTAATTTGCAGCACAGATGTACTAAGCTTTAAGTGGCAAGCAGCCAGCCAATTGGTCAGCAGATATGTTTGCAAATAAAACATGCTAATGCAGCTGCAGACATAATCAAATGTACAAATCCATATTTGTTTTCCACCAGTTTTAACAGTCCAAATTCTGGGATTTGTAGTTTGGTGAGGGCATTTAGAATTCTGTTAGAAACCCCTGCTCACAAAACTATAGTTCTCTTGAAAGATAACGTTTACATTTAAAATACCATAATTAGTATCATGACACTAAACACAAACAGAGCAAGCTGGAAAAAAAACTTGGTAGGAATTATATTCACTGACACAGAAAATAATAATAATGTAGCACTGAGTGAGTCTCATGTAACATTTAAAAACTTGTGAAAGTTTTTGGAACAGTTAATTTACATCTATTACAAACTAATCTAACAAAATGAGAGAACCTCATCAGAAAAGTTTGTAATCAAGGTAACATTGATGGGACAAATACTTCTGCACGTTCTGTAGGAGACTTTTTTGATTACTACCATAAACACTATTCAGTGCTACGAAAGCCAGATGTTTTGTTTTGATAGCCCTGACCTAGTAAGTTTTATACATTTTAAATTATTTTGCATATGGGTACATATAGAGGATAGAGACTCATAAATACTATGGGAAGAATAGAGTAATTATGGAATTATGTTTCCCAAGCAGTAAAAAAAAAGTCAGAATTATACTAGGTGCAATATTTACGGTGCAGTCCCTCATACAAACAACCCATTTAAACTATTTAAACTCCACCTTGATTGGGGCCACATAATAAGTGGCTCCAAATCTTGTTAATGAGACTTCTTCTGTAAACCTTTCACCAAACTATCATATTACCCATATGTACATACATCACTGAACAATTTTAACTAAGGCCCATTCTTAGGCTATTGTGTCTACTGTCCAATGTTGCAGCTCCAAGCTTATAAATCTGGT